GTGCAGTCATGCAAAGCTGCACCCAAATGAAATTTACGTTCTTTTTTTCCCACAAATAGAGCTTTCTTTCGGTGGTATTTGATCACCTGTGCGTGTTTTATTTTTTTTGTGCTATAAAAAAAGAAGACTGACAATTTTGAGAAAAAAAAAACTATATTTTTGACTTTTTGCTATTAAACATGTCCAGTAAAAAAATTAAAAAAATAAAATTTTGTCATAAATTTAGGCCAAAATGTCTTTGCTAAAAAAAATCCCAATACGTGTAAATTAACTGGTTTACGTGAAAGTTATAGCATTTACAAATGCCAGTATACTGTATATACTGGAATTTTTTTTTTTACTAGTAGTGGCGGCGATCAGTGACTTATAGTGGGACTGCGACGGGCATTCTGACACTGGGGGGACCTGACTTGGTGTCACTGACATCCCCAGTGACACTAATACAGTGATCAGTGCTAATAAAAAGCACTGACACTGTACTAATGGCACTGGGCAAGAAGGGGTTAACATCTGGGGCGATTAAAGGGTTAACTGTGTGCTGATTCACTATGGGGGCTGTATGTGTGCTTCATTATAAGCACACTGCTTTGTATGGCTCTGCTATGCAGAGCCATACAAAGCAGTGTGCAGGAGCTGACAGGGGAGATGTATACACAGGTCTCTCCCCGTCGATAATCTTCGGCAATCACCGGGTGCTGGCAAGTAATCACCGGCCAGGACCCAGTGATTGACAGCCGGGGTCGTGAATGGCGCCACAGGTAGGGCGCGCGTGTGCCCCCTACCTGGGAATGTGAAGTAACGTATATATTTTGTAATTTTGCGCACCCGTACCGCCCTGTTGCAGTATTTCTGCTATAGGGCGGACGGAAGCGGTTAAAGAAAGTCCCTCAGCTGCTGAGAAAAAAAACCCCAAGGAGATTGATAACATACAAATAGGACCAGCGCTTCTACAATCCACTAGCAAGCTTCTGTTGTGGATATATACAGTAGATGTTAGTGGATTATAAAAGCAATGGGCCTATTTGAATTTCAATATGTGTAGACACAGATTTAGTTACTCTTAGGTGGGCTGGTTTCAGTGGAATTTTTCAAAGGAGTCCGGTGCAGTTTCATTCAGTGGTTCAGGTGAGATTCAGGTGCACTTTATTTAAAACTGTTTTTCAAGATAGAAATGACTAACAGAGCCTCTAGGCATTCCCTGGGAATTCCCTGGCTGTAAACATAACAAGGTGACCAAAAATACAACAGCTCAACAACCTCACAAGCAGAGTAATAATGCAAGGAAGCACCAGTAGGTGATCAAGAATACTGGCAGCCAGGAATTATTAGAAAGAATACTTAAAATGGAGAGGGCCCATTCCAATAGGGACATGCAGGAGGAGCCTTAGCAGGTCCCATGTACTCTTGTGCCCAAAAGAAAGTATTAAAGAGAGTCATCAATAAAAAGATATCCAAAACACTCTCTCTACAAGTTTGCATCAATTAACCATCAGGGCCGGGGGGGTGTTTGGGGGTCAGGGATAGTATCAGTAGTGTATAAGGAATTGAGCCCTATATCCCACACACCTTATGAAACTTTTTCGGGCATCCTCTAGAGATACAGGTCAGTTTGTAGAGTGGGACCACTGAGTTCACTAGAGCTGTCCAATAATTAAAAGACGGTGGTTCCTTAGACTTCAAATGTAAGACTACTGTATGGCTTTCCTGGCATTAAAGAGCAACAGGCCAAGTAATGTTCTAATAGCACTAGTGTATGCCAGGGGTTGCACTAAACCTAGGAGACACACTGCAACTGTCTGAGCAATGGTGACAGTAGTTAGTGAGTCAAAAAAAATCACTTGAACTTCAGATAGAACCTCTAAATGCTGGGACGAGACCAAAAATATGGAAGAAGTCAGCTGGAATGTCAGCACATTGCCAACATTGGGGTGACACCGTAGGGTATATATTCTGTGTAAGTGACGTGGCATTAAATAAGCCATATGAAGGATTTAAATTGGATTAGTCAATCATTTGTGTGCAACGTATTATAACGGGATAATCCCAAATATCTTCCCAATCTTCTCCATCGAGCTCTGCTACCTCTACCTGCCACTTCAACCTCAAGGGTACAAGACCCACATGAATCAACAGCAGAAGCGCCTTATAAATCACCAATAATGGTTTAACCAAGACAGGAATACGCACCAGTGACTTCAGTCATCCAAGAATTAGTAGAGAGGGAACTACCAAATTGGGATCTATAGGCATGGTGGAGCTGCAGAACCCTGAAAAGTCAATTTGAAGGTCGTACCGTTGTTTCAAGCGATCAAAAGTAATCAAGGAGCCCTGTCAAAAATATTCTCCAAATACTGAATTCCTTTCAAGGCCCAAATTGAGGGGTCAGGGATTGTTTGAAATTCCGGAAGCTTCTGGTTTTCACCACAATGGAGTATGTGGGGACCAAAACACAGAGCTTGAAGAGCACTTGGGCATGGTTAAATGCCAGGTCTTGACAACTGCCTTCATAGACATGGTAGGGACAGGGAACGAGGCCTGCACACCCCAGAAAAGAAGGTTACATAACATCTCATATGAGCTAGCGTAAGCAGCTTCTAAGACTACCGAGGAGGTAGTGTCATCCGAAATTGCCCAATTATGGGCATGAGTAAAAGGGCAGCCAGAAAATGAAATGTGTGAGGTCTGGACACGCCAGACCTCCCTGCATCCAAGGTCTACAAAGTATATTCCTGCTAAATCTGGGCGAATGAGACTGCTACAGGAAGGAGTTATTTATGTAATTGAAATAAAATTGGAACTGAATTGGAATAAAAAAAGTCTTAGGAATCCATTAATAGTACCGAGAGACTTTAATTTTCACTAAATTTATCCAGCCAATAAGGGATTAGGAAAAGATTATCCCATGCCCTCAACCTCTACTTGATGGTCTGCATAGGTACAGGTTAGATCGACAAAAGTCTTGGATGGAGACTGGGAAATAACTATACCTAGATAGTGAAGGGAAGACATCCTTATCAGTGGAAGTGTTAGGTCCGCCAGTTTGCGCTCCAGGCTCTATGGCAGAATCAGGGATTTGTCCCAGTTCATTCATAGGCCAGAAAAGGTAGCAAAGGAGGACAAAGCTTTTAGTGCTTCAATGAGAGATGGACCAGGGTCATTCAGGAACAAAATGAGATCATCTGCATATAATGCTAGTTTTTCAGTGATCGAGCCAACCTGGATACCAGCTATTTTATCAGATTGCTGCAGCGCTGCAGGCATCAGTTCCATGGCCAATGCAAATAAAACTGGGGAAAGTGGACACCCCTGCCATGTACCATGAAGGATAGAGAAAAGAGGGGAAAGCTTTCCTCCCAGCTTAATTCGAGAGTAGTGACTCTTACTGTATATAACAAATTGAACCATTTATGAAAGATAGGGCCTAAATCCAACAGGTGTGAATTTTTAAAGTGTATGGCAATTTTTAAAGTGTATGGCACATTTTTATACATTTTTAAAGTGTATGGCACATTATTACCTGCACAGAGCAGGTAAGTATAATGTGTTTGCTATTTAAAAAAAAAAAAAAAAAACCTTTATAACCACTTTAAATTTGCACTTTCCCCCTACTTTTAGCTTTGCATTTAAATAGACTTAGGAGGCACAGCCTACTTGATAAACAGCTCTGCTTCTTGTTCTGACTTCCCATCTTGCACATCCATCTGCTTGCTAAATTCCTATGTTGCCAGTATTTCAGGATCGCCATAAATCTGAGAATGCAGAAAAATGAAGGGGTCTATTTATAGAAAATGTGTTGGCTGAATGTCACAAGCATTACAAGAACCACAATTAGAATTATTTCTTGTCACATGAAATAGTTTTATTTTGGTAATGTTATATTTTTCCTAATATTATTCAAGTGTGATTTTAAAACCCTCCATTTTTTTATTTCATAAAAAAATGACAACTATTAAAGGGGGAAATCTGCATATAGGTATCAATTACATAAACATTACACCCACAGCAGGTTGTGTATACCATTACAAATGCTACCTTTTTATACACACCCAAAAAAGATTATTCTACCAATGAGAAGTACAGAGTATGCAATCTCATTGATCCCGACATCGCATTTTTATTAATTCTACCAAATTGAAATTCGTAAAAAAACTATAGACCAGAGAGCTTGCTTGTGAATGAGACCTAATTGTGTAGCTGCTATACATAGCACACATCTAGTTTGACCAAGTAAAGTTTCATATCATTTCCTTGTGTAAATCAAATGGTACTCAAGCAGAAATGCTGTAAAATCAGGATTCATGCATCACAAGTCCATGCTACAATGTGTGCTAGCCCATGTATATATTAGGTTTACAGAGATGTGTGTGGTTTACAAACTGAATGACGTACAGTATATCACAAGAATACAAAGCTTATGTCAAGTTCTCTTTGGTCTATAATGTTTAACTTTTTTTCTTTTAAATCTTAATAAAAATGTGATGTTGGGATAAATAAGATTGTCATAGACACTCGCTGGCCACTGTATTAGTTAATTCTGTTCAATTGCTCAGAAACACAAATTGCCAATCACATGGCAGTAACTCAATGCATTTAGGCATCTAGACGCAGTAAAGACAACTTGCTGAAATTCAAAACCGAGCATCAGAATGCGAAAGAAAGGGGATTTAAGTGACTTTGATCGTGGCATGGTTGTTGGTATTTCAAAAACTGCTGATCTACTGGGCTTTTCTCGCACACCATTGTTGATGTCAAGGTCAGAGGAGAATGGGCAGACTGGTTTGAAATGATAGAAACGTAACAGTACTTCATATCAATGTCTCTGAGGAATGTTTACAACACTTTATTGAATCTATGCCAAGAAGAATTAAGGAAGTTCTGAAGGCAAAAGGGGGTCAAACCCGGTACTAGCAAGGTGTAGCTAATAAAGTGGTTGGTGAGTGTATACACATCCCATTAGCAGAATAATCTCATTTTTTTAGTATATATATATATATTGGATATTATTTCATAAATCTCTGAATCCTAGGAACGAGCTGATCTAGAGAATGTATAATATGATCCTGTGGAACCTGTTCTTTAAGCTGGCCATTCTCTGGTTGGAGCAGAAAGCTGAGCATGCCCACTTGCTGAGGCCCTTTATAGTCATTTTTGTAATCATCACCAATATGAGCGGAGTGTTGAGGTGACACATTGGCAAGGCTTAAAGCTTTGAGAAAGATCCCCAAATCGGGCTTGGCAGAACCAGCGGTCTCAGAAGTCAGCACAAAATCAAAATGTCTGTGTAAGTCACAGTTCCTCAAGATGTCCTCCAATCGGTGGTCAAAATTGGAGATGACTGCCATCTTGAGGCCTAAGTTGCTACAACCCTGGAGAGCTTCCCTGGCACCCGGTAACACTTCCCAGTACTTGTCAGTGCAGAAATCTTGATAGAGTTTTTCTGCCAGGGACTGTGTAGTCTTCTCATCCTGGACACCAGAGAGATGAAAGGTCTGAGAGACCACATCCAGCCACCACTGGTGGGAAGTCATGCCCTGAGACAGGCCATAGTTGGGGAAGAGACGCCAATGACTTCGATAAACCTGTCGAAAAGAAGCCTCCAGCACAGATGGATCTACCTGAAGCCCTCTCCTCTTGGCCTCTGCCTGATATTGCTGTCCAACAGGAAGGCGTAAGCGAAGTAACGTGTCTTTCACATCCCAGGTGAGGAGACGGAGTTTCATTTTGTATTCTGCAGAGTGAGAGAGAAGTTTAAAGCCCAACAATAGCTGAAAGTTATTTTTTTTCATTTCGGTTAGCATAGAAAAGGGTTATAACTGCTGTCATGTTTTTGCTGCTGTTAGTGTGCTTACTGCTGATATACATGCAACAACAGAAGCCTGATTCTCACCCTTCCCACTCTGTTTAAAAAAAAAAAAAAAGTTATATTTTCTATCATTTCAATAGTTAGAGAGATTTTGCTTGTTGACCACACATCTCAATGACACCACAGAGGTGATGAAAATTCTCCCATCGGCTGCAGAAACAGCAATTAAAACCTGACAGAGGTTCAAACCCTTGCAGACTGTCAAAAACAAATAAAAAGGTTTGACTGGAGTCTTGCCAAAAACAAAAACTTTAAAAAAAAGTTGAAACCCTGCTTTAGGGAGACACTCTTGTTGTCAGCAGGACAAGAAGTAAGGCAAACAGAATTAAACATGGATTTTAACATATCATTGTTACTTGTTGTTTTTAGCAGGGGTCTCCAAACTTTCTAAACACGGGGCCAGTTTACTGTCCTTCAGACTTTAGGGGGCCAGACTGTGGCCAGTAGAAGTAGAAAATGGCCTGGTGTCAGTGGAAGTAAACAATGTCACATGTCTAGTGGGAGGAATAAAACCCGCTATTGATGTCAGTGGCAGGAATTATGCTACTATTGGTGGTGTCAGAGGCCGCAGGCAGCAATGGGGAACAGCGCACCATTGTTATTGTCATTGGAAGGAATAGTGCCCCATCATTAATATCAGTGGGAGAAATAGTGTCCCATTGTTGGTGTCAGTGGCATGAATTATGCCCACTGGTGGTGTCAGTAGGAGGAATAGTGCCCCAGGTGCCAGATAAAGGCAAGCAAAGGGCTGCATTCTGGCCTGGGGCCACAGTTTGAAGACCACTGGTTTTTAGGCCCAGTGTCTCTTTAAACAGGACTTCTGGGGTAGAGAAACAGGAATTCTATTCCGTCACTAGATGTCCTCAGTTTTCCCAGCTGAATGACGATGGGCACAAACTGAGAACACACTGTTAGTGCAGGGCATTATGGAGCCATCCCATGAGGAGTTGTCACCACAGCATCTATTATTATTATACAGGATTTATATAGCGCCAACAGTTTGCTCAGCGCTTTACAATATAAAGGGAGACAATACAGCAACAATACAGTTCAATACAAGAGGGATAGGAGGGCCCTGCTCCTTGGAGCTTACAATCTAAGAGGGAGGGGCTGGTAGTACAAAAGGTAATAACTGTGGGGGATGAACTGATAGAAGAAATAGAAGATTTGGGTTATTGGCTGAAGGCAGGATAAGGCTTACCTGAAGAGATAGGTTTGCAGAGATTGGGGTAAAGAGTTCCAGAGGATGGGGAAGGCTCTGGAGAAGCCCTGGAGATGTGCATGGGAGAAGAAGAGAGAAGACAAGGGAGCTAGACAGCAGGAGTTCAGTGGGAGAAGCGGACGGTTTGGGTGATATTTGGAGACAAGATTGGTGATGTAATTTGGGCAGATTTATTAAAGCTTTATATGTTATTGTTAATGTTTTAAATGTTATCTGTTGGGCAATGGAAAGCCAGTGGAGGGATTGGCAGAGATGGATGGCAGATATGGAACGGTTAGTAAGGTGGATAAGACTGGCAGTAGAATTCATGATAGACTGAAGAGGGGATAGCCTGCGATTAGGTAGGCCAATGAGGAGGGAGTTACAATAGTCAAGCGAGAGATAACAAGGGAGTGAATAAGGTTGCTTTTTGGTTTCAGTGGTTAAAAACAGGCGTATTTTGGAGAAGTTACGGAGGTGAAATCTACAAGACAGCGATTGGATTTGGGGCTGAAAGGACAGATGGGAGTCTAGGATTACACCTAGTAACCTGGCATGAGTGGAGGGACTGATGGTTGTATTATTGATCTTGATGGAGAAGTCAGGGGAGGGGGCACAGGCTGGAGGGAATATATGAGCTCAGTTTTAGAAAACATCTACACATCAAGTGAAAAATAAAACTGGAGATGGGCATCCAGGGACAAGAAATAGGAAGTATAGAGGGCTGGAATTGGGCTTTAACGGGAAAACTTTGGCTTGGGTCTATATCATTTTATTTTTTTATATTGTACTGTTTTTAAACATGTTTTAGCTTTTCTGTCTTCTTAATTTTACAACTGAACATTTGTCTGCACTTAACTGCACATCCAGTGGTTACTGTGGCTACAGACAGATTACTGGCCCTGGACTCAGGATACAGCTGTGGCACTTTCCAGCCTGTCAATTACTTTGTACGGGCATTTTAGATACAGCCATTGGCAATCACCTGTGATTCTTGATGCAAGAATCTGCTGATTCCTACAGTAGGAATCCACCATCTGGACCTTTTAAGACGTGTGAATGAGGGCCTAGGGATTTGGATAGGTTGAACCCTTCCATTACCAAATATTAGGGAGCAAGGAGTAGTGCAAAGGCCGTAGGGGGTGTATATGTTGATTATGCTTCTAATTTGAAACACGGACTCTGTTCCACATTCTGCACAGCTCTGATAAATGGTCAGACTGTTGGTGTACAATGTGTACATTTAGGTATAGAAAAAAGAAGTGCCCAAGGGACTTACTGAGTCACGCATAAAAAGATTAAAAATATTGTATTTCATTAAAAAATAATCATAAAATATAATTCAAGTAAAAATTGCAATATATATAGAAAAAAGAGAGGTGCCCAAGGGACTTACTAATTCACGTATAAAAAGGTAAAAAATATTTTATTACACATTACATTTTAATAAAAAATAAACATAAAATCATTCAAGATAGGTATATAAATCATAGTCAACAAACACAGCACGTTTAGTATAAAATACAAATACAGATGAAAATACAATCAGCGTGTTCACCACATTAACAATGCTCAAGGCCTTTCACAGAGCCTGACACGTTTTGTGAATCAACATTCACTTCTTCAGGAGACATGAGAAATCATAAATGCAGTGTCTAGAGAGAAAACATATATATACAACATGCAGCGCTAGAAAATACAATGTTAAATATCGTCAAAACGTCCAGTGTGACCTTAGTAATGGGTCATAGAAATATTAACGTCTCTCGGGTGGATGAAATATCCCAAAAAGTACTTCGCAAATGAATATAATGCTACACAGCACGCTGGTATTAGTATATATATATATATATATATATATATATATATATATATATATATATATATATTTTATATATAGTGCATATAGTGAAATAGCAGTCAATCGTCTATAAACAGTTGGCAACCGTGACATTAGTGGTTAGTGGTATGGTGAATAAGTGTAGATTGCACTAAGCAGATAGCGCAAAATCAAGCGCATTTGAGTGATTACGAAGTACTTTTTGGGATATTTCATCCACCCGAGAGACGTTAATATTTCTATGACCCATTACTAAGGTCACACTGGAATTTTTGATGATATTTAACATTGTATTTTCTAGCGCTGCATGTTGTATATACAGTGGGGATCGAATGTTTGGGCACCCAGCTAAAAATTTGTATTAATGTGCATAAAGAAGCAAGGAAAGATGGAAAAAATCTCAAAAAGGCATCAAATTACAGATTAGACATTCTTTTATAATATGTCAACAAAAGTTAGATTTTATTTCCATCATTTACACTTTCAAAATAACAGAAAACAAAAAAATGGCGTCTGCAAAAGTTTGGGCACCCTGCAGAATTTATAGCATGCACTGCCCCCTTTGCAAAGCTGAGACCTGCCAGTGTCATGGATTGTTCTCAATCATCGTCTGGGAAGACCAAGTGATGTCAATCTCAAAGGTTTTAAATGCCCAGACTCATCTGACCTTGCCCCAACAATCAGCACCATGGGTTCTTCTAAGCAGTTGTCTAGAAAACTGAAACTGAAAATAGTTGATGCTCACAAAGCTGGAGAAGGCTATAAGAAGATAGCAAAGCGTTTTCAGATGTCAATATCCTCTGTTCGGAATGTAATTAAGAAATGGCAGTCATCAGGAACAGTGGAAGTTAAAGCAAGATCTGGAAGACCAAGAAAATATCAGACAGAACAGCTCGCAGGATTGTGAGAAAAACAATTCAAAACCCATTTTTGACTGCACGATCCCTCCAGAAAGATCTGGCATACACTGGAGTTGTGGTACACTATTCCACTATAAAGAGATACTTGTACAAATATGGTCTTCATGGAAGAGTCATCAGAAGAAAACCTCTTCTACGTCCTCACCACAAAAATCATTGTTTGAACTTTGCAAATGAACATATAGACAAGCCTGATGCATTTTGGAAAAACGTTCCATGGACCGATGAGGTTAAAATTGAACTTTTTGGCCGGAATGAGCAAAGGTACGTTTGGAGAAGAAGGGGCACAGAATTTAATGAAAAGAACCTCTGTCCAACTGTTAAGCATGGGGTTGGATCAATCATGCTTTGGGGTTGTGTTGCAGCCAGTGGCACAGGGAACATCTCACGAGTAGAAGGAAAAATGGATTCAATAAAATTTCAGCAAATTTTGGATGGTAACTTGATGCCATCTGTGAAAAAGCTGAAGTTGAAGAGAGGATGGCTTCTACAAATGGATAATGATCCTAAACACACCTCAAAATCCATGGGGGATTACATCAAGAGGTGTAAACTGAAGGTTTTGCCATGGTCTTCACAATCTCCTGACCTCAACATAATTGAAAATCTATGGATAGACCTTGAAAGAGCAGTGCGTGACAGACAGCCCAGAAATCTGAAAGAACTGGAAGACTTTTCTAAGGAAGAATGGGCAAAGATACCTCAAACAAGAATTGAAAGACTCTTGGCTGGCTACAAAAAGCGTTTACAAGCTGTGATACTTGCCAAAGGGGGCAGTACAAGATATTAACTCTGCAGGGTGCCCAAACGTTTGCAGACGCCATTTTTTTGTTTTCGGTTATTTTGAAAGTGTAAATGATGGAAATAAAATCTAACTTTTGTTGACATATTATAAG